GCTAGACTGGGATCCAAACCCTGGACTTCAGTGGGGCTAGACAGGGATTCCAACCCTGGATTTCAGTGGGGCTAGACTGGGATTCCAACCTTGGACTTCAGTGGGGCTAGACAGGGATTCCAACCCTGGATTTCAGTGGGGCTAGACTGGGATTCAAACCCAGGACTTCAGTGGGGCTAGACTGGGATTTCAACCCTGGACTTCAGTGGGGCTAGCCTGGGCTTCCAACCCTGGAGTTCAGTGGGGCTAGACTGGGATTCAAACCCGGGACTTCAGTGGGGCTAGACTGGGAATCCAACCCTGGACTTCAGTGGGGCTAGCCTGGGCTTCCAACCCTGGAGTTCAGTGGGGCTAGACTGGGATTCCAACCTTGGACTTCAGTGGGGCTAGACAGGGATTCCAACCCTGGATTTCAGTGGGGCTAGACTGGGATTCAAATCCTGGACTTCAGTGGGGCTAGACTGGGATTCAAACCCTGGACTTTAGATTGTTACACTATCTCTCTAACCAACTGATCATGAGCTACCTGGTCAACAAAAGTATCTTCGCCGAACTGTGCTACAGTTATATGCATGTCCAAAACAAAATTAAGGGGAGGTTACTAATGAGACAGGGATGCTGAACTAGATATCCAACAAGCATCAGAATGGTATGAATGTTTAATTGAATGCTCTCTGATTTTTCCAACTTTTGTCACCGTTTGATGGAAAATCATAGTGACATTTTTCACAAAATTGTGAAAAAATATCTATTTTCATAAAACAAAACAAAAATGTTATCACTTGGGATTTTATAAACATTCTAAGTGCTAATTACTAAATGTTTAATATGGGAACAAATGAATTTTCTCCAAATTTAGTAAATTGTTGACCACTGAAATACAGTATAGGGTCTATAAAATAATGAAAGCAAAGCAAAGATTTTCCAGGGAAAAACACTTAACAGAGCCTAAATATACATAAAATATGTTAAAATTGCGATAAATTCATATCATTTCAGAATTCAATGTAATATCTATATAAAGCAGCTCTGTAATTTTACTGATATGCTGAAAATTTATCAATGATGAAATGATTTTTATGTACATGCCATTCATATAAGCTGTGTTTATAAATATGCTGTTCTGTATTTCCATTGACGTTATCTCTGCTGAAGTAATTGGCCTGGGATAGGCTAGCAATGTGTGTAAAAAGTAAAATCTTATCACAAATATTCCAGACGATGAAGCTGTGAGTAGGGTTATGATTTATTTAACACTGTTATCATCTCCAGAGTTATCACAGAGATATGTGTAGATCAAATATCTGTAAAAACTCGGTGAATCTTGCGATTTGTAATACAATTTGTAACAAGTCTTTGGGAGCTGATTTAGAGATTGACCGGGTTTTATGGGTTTTAACAATCGACTCTCCATGCAAAATTCGAAAATTGATTTTATTAAGGAGAGAAAACGTGCTTTATTGACATTGTATTTTGATATGCAGACAGGACTTGGGTCGTCTCTGGTGCTCACACAGAGCTTTCCCAGCAAGTGATGTTAGGTTATCAACCTTGTTTTAGTCATTTAAAACTCACAGACATTTGTTAGATTAACTAAGGATAGTGAGAAATAGTATTGATAACATCTTCCCTTGATAAGAACAAGTATCTTTGGTAACTTTATTTTCTTTATACGTGTCCTTATTTTTAAGGGAACCAGCTGACAGTTATCAGTCAAATTTTCCACATTTGAAAGAGGTTTTTTTGCATCATCACTTTTTCTAAAATTTAACTATTTTTTTTGCAAAGAAAACACTAAAACTATGGCATTATATCATTTAATCAAATTATAGGGATCAATGTCAGTAGATTTTACACATTCTAAACTTTTCTCAAATAGTTTCTCCTATAAAAAAAAAAATGGAAAGGTTGGCAAATACCTAATTTTATGTATCTCCTCTGTTTATCATTATGATGTCTGCACATTTCGTATTTTATACAATGGTTTCGTCTTCTGTATCCATGCAAGTGTACTTAATATATATATGACTGCAAAAAAAACAAAAATGTATCCTTGATCCTGTTCGACATTTTATCAGGTAGATATGAGTGTGTATACACTCTGATGTAAGGTAAGCACATTAGCCAGGTGTAAATTTGATGGAAGAGAAATGACTTTCATATCAATGGTTGTGAGGAGAATCTGTGGCTCTGCCAAGTAAGCTGAGCATTAGAGTGTGGAGGAATTTGATGTTGGTGGTGAAGAGACGATCTAATCTCCTCCACGTACATGTCGAGGAGGGGGAAACAAAACCCACAATGTTACATCACCGTCGCAGCCCTCACAGATGATATCGCCTTTATTGGAACGCATGTGTTGATAAATTTGATATCACATTGCACTACTTACTTGTTTGAAAGTTGTAATTTAAAATCTTCAAGTCGATGAGGTATAGAGAGTGTAGTTTCGTTCCATCAGTGAAGAGAGCACAGATTAAGGTAAAGACATAATTTTGTTTTCATTCTCTTTATCCTTCAGACTGGTTTTATTTGATTTGCCTGAATTTTCATTGTAACTGTATAATTTTGTTGTATGATTTGATCCCAAAGATTCTAGTGCAAAATTAATCAACTGTAAACATATAATATTACCAGTGGTAAATGTTAACCGATTGCTCTCATTGGATTTTAGAATACCACAATTATTTGAACGTCTCATATTTAAAATATTTAAAATGGTGTTATTTGATTTTAACAATGAAAATTACTTGTTTGTAAAAAAATGTCTTGACAAAATTCAGAGCCGATAATTTCAATGATTTTTTTCTTTAATTGTCCTTCAATTCAATTGATTTTATCTCATATTTCAAAGAGCACAGCATCAATCATCAACTTTTTTTAATGACTTCTACTTTAGAACCATAAGTCATAGAATAAAGTCGTTATATTTGGCATGGTATACGTAGCTTGCCCAGATGAATGACTATCAATTTTGCTAAGTTATAGTTACCTTGATCTATTTCCAAGGTCACAGAGATCAGATTTGTTTAACACATCAAACAGCTGAAAGTGTTGTTTGGCATGTACAGCTTGTTTTGATTAAGGACCGTGTGACTCGATAGATTTGTCCAAATCTTCATAAAACTTGTAACAAACAGTGAGGTCTACTGAGATTATAAAAGGTGATGGCCATCAATGTCAAATATATTATTTGACCCACTGCAATTCCAAAGTCACAGGGATCAAATATGGTTAAAAATTTTAAAACATCTTCTTCTAACCAACTGTATATCTTAGAATCATGATAATCAAAGTAACTTATGGGGTAAATGGCTAACAAGTGTTTTTTTCAATAATGTGCTTCTGTTCTTTTTGCTGTGTCGCTTTTGGGTCAGTTGTGTTTTGATTTAAGATTTGAAGTAATTTGTTTAAATAAACTAGCTTGATCCTCATTTCTACTCCTGTTTATGTGTTAAGTCTCCAATCAACTGGTCCCAGCCCATTAGCCTCTTGATCAGTTTTGTAACTAATTAAGTATACATAGCTACCTACATCTAAATACCATTGGTGATGATGCTGCTTAATGTAATATATATCAGGTAGGTACATACGTATAATAGATAATATTGTAGAAAATGACAGATTATAGAGTTTGGATAACAATGATTTGGTCTAGTAATAAAGGAGAACAGCATTGTCTAGTTTTGAGAGAGGGATTGTATTTGTACAAGAGGAGGTGAACTGTTGCAATCTCAAAGGGAGGTCACTCACCTCCTTTATCTACCCCTTCTGAACAGCAGCCAGGAACAGGCCAGATAACTGATATCAGATGAATTAATCAACTAAGGAAATGGGATTTATTTCATGTCAGAAAAAAATGACAGATTAAATATGTTTACAGTTTAAACATGTTCAGTAATTTAAGTACCAGCTGGTATATTTATTTATTATACAAGTATGAATCAACTGTATAATGATATTTTCCCATGAATGTGAATCTCTGTATTGTGGGCAACTCTCGGATTGATATAGAAATAAAAGTATAAAGCCCTCTTTATCACATACTTATTGAGTGCAGGAAAGGTTTAAAAACCGTTTGTAATATCCAGGGTTTCATAATTGGAATTTTGCGATTCGTGATGCCGCAAAATAGCAAAAGTAAAACCTTTGATAAAATTTCGTCACTTTATATCTGGGTGTAGTTGAATGTAGTGTTATAGTATGAACTGGTGTTGTGCAGGTTTTGTGGATATGATTTAACATCAGGTTGACGTTGCGTTATGAACTTGTGTAACACTACTTGTGTGGTTTAGAGTACCGTGATGAGCTGACATCATCTGTCAGGCGATGATCCCTATCTGCAGGTGATTTATATCTGTCAAGCCAACAGCTGGCTCAGAGAGGAGAATAAGATAAAAAAAAAAAAAAATTTTTTTTTACATGAAATGCATGGAGAAATGATATGTGGTGCTGAATTTCCATGATATGGTTCCCGATTTCCTCATTATCTTGTGGTAGTAAAAATTGCTCCAGGTTTTATCTCCTAGCTTGAAATAGGACCCTCCAGCTTCGTGAAGCTGGCTGCTGTTAGGTGATGAGGTTCGTTTGTGGATGTGTTCAATTTGAAGTATCAGTTTGAAGAATTGATCTGTTATTTATGTTCAGTATTGATGCTACCAATGTGACTGGGTTGGTCTTATATTTACTTACAGGTAGGTTAAGGGTGTTATTCAGTTATGAAGAACAAAGGGCAGGAAAAGGACAGAGAAGTCCTGCGTTTCTACCTCAGCTATATATGCATTATCCAGCAAATTTTATTTTATTTCAAACAATGGTGGAAGAAGATTGAAAAAAGATGAACAAATCTAAGATTGTATATTTTTTCTCTAAAAAAACATTTACATTTAAATCATTGGTCTAGTCTGGTGCCATTCCTTTGTCTCAACATCTAAGATTGTATATTTTTTCTCTTAAAAAAACAACTAACATTTAAATCTTTTGCTTAATTGGTCTCTTTCCAGAAGGAGGTGCCAGTCCTTTGTCTCAGCGCCGCCCTCCCAAAATCAACAGTATCGCCAGCGACGAGGAGCCCATCTATGACATTGTTGCGTCAGACGAGGACTACAGCAGCATTGACAATCTGAGCATCAAGAGTACGGGAATGCGTGACGACCGCAAGGACTGGGTAGAGGAGGTGGGTACACACACGCTGAACACAGCTAGCATTTGTGTGTTATAGGATAGAGAAGTTCTCTTAAAGGTTTGGAAATGTTTTTCAATTGAAAACTAATAGGATAAAGAAATTCTGGGAGTATATGGTTTTGACATATATTTTACCATTGTGTAAATGGGTATACCAGGGCTAGAAATTGATTTTAAAACCACCAGTCAATCAGGCTAGTCTCAGAATAGCGGGTTACCCTTATTGTCTAGCCCTGGGGTACACACAAATTATCTCAGTGTTATGTAGCGAATAGAGGGGTTATGGGGTGTTTTTCCATTTTGTATAGAAAATAGAGAAATTCCCTGACTATATATTTTACCATTGTGTATAGGGGATAGATACATTTCCCAGGTATAGATGTAAAGTAAACCCTGAGGATGATTTCATGCTAATTTCCAAATCCTCCCAAGTAGAACCTAGATATATTTTATCCAGGTACACACATAAATAGTATTTCCTGTTATATCCTGCCAAGGCATCAGATACTATTCAGTGAAAGTATGTTTTACTAAACCATCTGACTTGTGATACAATTTGTACCCTATTGCTCTTTCCATGATGTAATTTACCTGTTTAAAATGAAATAAATGAACCTGTTTTTTTAGTCCCAGTTAATATTCACATAGTATTGTACATCTCGGCAAATCAGTTAGCCGAGTATGTCATTTTTGAATTCAGCATTTCTCAAGTAAAATGAAAATGCATGAGTAAGGAAACATTTTACGAATATAGTTAATGATGTGATCTGATTTTGATCAGTATGGTGTATCAGGTATGACTTAAGTGATAGGTAGGACAGAGGTATTGTTCACTTCCATGTCATCGCTGTTGTTACATTCCCCCGGTATCTGAGATTTGGAGAAAATAATATTATTTCTGCTTTCAAACTTAGTATAGTTAATTCATTTACATAACATTAAACAGGGTAAGTGATTCCTTCTTTTATGTTATTTGATTTTTTTAAAATGATGTGTCGTTTTTTTGTCCATGTGAGTTATCCTTGAACAAGCAACGCTATATTGCATCACTGTGTGATTTCCCTGCATAAAATGTTACTTTGCATATTGAATGGTTTTGGAGTGATCTTATCATTTCACCTGTTTTTATGCTGTAACCAAGTAACCAATTACCTAATGTATATTTTACCTTTCTCATGAAATCACATTTTGGCTTTACTCATTTAATATTCAACGTTTCATTTTACTTACGAGTCATGCTAGAAAAACAAATCCTAGCATTCTATTTCAGATCAAATTTGAATTTTTGTTATATACCCCTACAACATGAGTAAAGATAGCATTAAGTGTTTTCCTTTTCTGTCCGTCAGCCGTCTGTTTGTACAGCCTCTTTGTTAGGCTTTGTATTTATTTCCATCATTCTAAAAGTCAAACACTCATCAAACTTTATATAAATGAATTCCTCTAGAGGTGTACTATGCCAAATATATCAAATGTAGGTCACTGTGACCTATATTTTCGGCTTAATCTCTGACTTTGGTTAGACTTTTTATTTAGCTCCATTTAAGTCGATGAAAGGTCAGGGCATATATGTGTATGGGTTTTACAAACATTTTCTAGTATTCAATGCCAAGTGTATTTAACTCATTCACCTCTGAAATTTCATAATGGATTATTCCAACCTTTGAATTGGAAGAGTTCAATTGTGTCTTCAGGGTAGAGTTTAGCTTGTATGTGTGTGTTGTCCTGGTTACTATTGTTATGCAATTTATATTTTTATTGAATTATTGGTATTAAAAAAGAAAATGAAAGAAAAAAAAAGAAAAAAATTTGGTTTGTACGTTCTGTTGACACCATCATTGTAATATATCTACATACATTTGTTTGATTGGTTGGTGATGCAGGAAAGGGGGTCTATCCGTACGGTTGACTCGACCCCCAAATCAATCATGGCTACTGCGGAGGTGAGGCGTGTATGTCTGCACTTTCATACTCAGCATGGAACGTCTTCAAGGCACTGCTCACCAATTTTGTCAGATTAAAATATTAAAAAACAGAAATTACAGAGATTAGTAACTCACATCTATTATGCATAAAACAATATTATTACACATTGCATTGATATCTCTACGAACACATGCATGTACATAATGTCAATTAATATTTTACTTTTTCGTGATAGTCTCTCAAATAATTGAAAAGCAAGGGTAAGAATTTGTAAAATTGGTTCAACTCTTCAATAATTCATGAAGTGATTTATTTTCTTACAAATTAACACAAAATTCTATATTTTGTGAAGTTAAAATGATTCACATTAACGTCAGAATAATAACGAAACAGCAAGTTCTTTGTTTACATTAGTCCTTCATGCTATTTCTGTGATATGTGAATTATTGAAAAAGAAAATAAATAATAGAATTATTCACCAGTTGCTGATCTGTTGTACCATTGAAATCCTTTTCGATGGAAAATAGTCAATATGAAAATGAATTTAAAACTTTTGCAAGTTTGTGGTTTCTAAACAATACCAACCAGTAACAAATATTTTCTCTGGTCAAGAAATCGAAAATGAAGAAAGAAAATGATAACTCAAAAATATTTAAAAATATATCTTATCATAGATATCGACAGCAATTTGTAATAAAGCAAATAATTGTGTTTCTCTCCTGGACATGAAACTTTGTATCTGTGATCTGCTGGTAAGGTAAATAAAGAATGGTTTGACAGGAGATTGTACAGAATTTCTGGGCAGTTTTAGATACAGCATCCTCTATCATACAGCATCACATATATTACAGGAGCCAAATCATTTATTCCATTCAACAGTTCATTATATTTTGACAAACAGCCAATCAGTGAAGTGCTTACACCTGGGTATCAAACCCCTTTCAGGTAGAACTTTCCTGATTGGCTGTTTGTAAATTAAAGATCATCATTTTCTCACATACATGTATGACCCTAACAAATTTCCTTCAGTTTATGAATGGAATGTAGATGATTAAAATCTTAAATCATAGAAATCCAATGAATCTGTGTATGCATAGTTCATTCCACTTTTAGTGGCATATAAACTGGAACATTTAATGTACAATGTACAAGTGTAGTTGATGCAGCTGATCCGTATAGTCTTGTATTTTCAGTGCATATCTATAAAAATACATTCACTGCACTAGACCACAAGTTTACACTACGTATGGTGTATTGATTCCGATACATTTGATCACATTCGTTTATATTAATACTGGTGAAGTTCTATTGCTTACATTACTTACCTGCCTAACATTATAATGTAGCATGTGTTTATAAGGATTTACCTATACTGTATATAGCCCAATAACAATTACCTCTGTTAAACCCATATGTCTGTTTAAACTGTGTTCATGCTTTACCACAAAGACAGTGTGATGTTGTCGCATGAGATATACCCAGGTATCCCTGCAACCAAGTTGTGGGGCAGGGCTAGCTGGCACTGTTGTCTCTTTGTAATACATTCTTCTTGAAAGAACTATATATATTCGAACAGTAACAGTAGCCGGGGGAGGGGGTGTTGAAAGAACTATTCCCACTTCTAGAGTACGTAGCAGGCAGGGTATTTGTGTGGTGACAAATTCACTATGCCTCCTGCAACCAAGATACAGGGGTAGAGTGGTGGGTGGGTGTTGTCCCTTTGTCAAACGTTCTTGAAAGAACTGTTCTTACTCCTTCAGTAGTCATTATGATGAGTATAAATATCACTTAGTTTCAATTGCTACCAGCAAGTAAATGACAGGTTTCGCAATTCATTTGTAGGTTGTGGTATGTTGCAGTATTATCACATTCTATGTAAACAATTTACAAACAATAGCAGTGTCTCTTTAGTATATAGTGATTCCTGGTATCAAAGATAATACATATTCCTGGTATCACAGAACCTATCAATTTCTAAAGACAATGGTGTTTGCCAAAGCCTGGGTCTGGACTAAATTACAACATAGATATGTGTACTTATGGCTTGAAGTAGTCATCTCATTGACACATTGTGACCTGTACGGTACTTATTTTATGTCCATACTGAAGTATAGATACAAATTTCATAAAACTGTCTGAACTTTAACTCTATGTATCATGAAACATTTGTAAATGTTTCCTATTTTGCTGTTAAAATGTTATTAACAAATTAATTTGCTGATGCAAATTTTTTGGCGGCCTGCTGGTACATTTGAACTTGAGACATTGAAATTGTTCAGCTGAAAAATTTGTGAGAACTTCATCTTTAATAATATGAGTGCAGTGTTGATAACTTGGTATATGGATGTGACGTGTCTGTTGCATGTAAAATTAATAAAATCAAAAAAGATAAGCAGATATGTGATGAAAAAGTCCTGCAATCATCAGATAAACTCTAATACAGTGTTGTCAATAGGAGCTGGAACCTGGCTTTTTTCCCCAGCATTACTCTGCTGTTTTTGACTAGCTACATTTCTTCTGTAAACAGCTGTTAATGCTGTATACTCTGAACATTTTACCACATTTCAACTTTTGTTTTGCCTTCTGTAATGAGAGCAAATTTATCATTACAGCGAAAAATACATATAGTAATTCAGTGTGAAGGACATATTAAACACTGGGTGAATATCGATTTTGTCGGCGAAGATCAAAACTTTCCTTGTATAAATAGTTACCTGGACAGGGCCGGGGAAGTCTATTAAATGGAATGTAGCTGTGAATTGCCTCTCTCTTTTCCTGGAATGCTAAATGATTCGTTCGCCTCCCAACTCCAAATTTTATTGACTACACTGCCAGTGATATGATAGAGAGTCACCTCCTGGATTTGCAATTATCTACATATGTTACAATAACTCTCTTGCATGTTTCATTAATAATAAATCTAACACACTAAGACATATAACAATATTTAAAATTTCTGGGGGCATTATAGAATACTGAATTGGTTTATCACTACATAACATGATTTATGTATTAGGTAAATATATTGACAATGTTGCCTTAAAATTAATGACAGAACTTAAAGATTTTGATTGAGTAATAGGTTTCCTTTTTCTATCATAAATTTGCTATGTAATCATTACCAACAATTTAAGATTTCTTGGCATTATTCATCATTTGTGTTTCCCTTATTTCAACAAGGATTCAATTATGGTGCATGACCCCTGATTGACCTGCAGTTCATGACCTCTGTCTGGCATTTCTTTGATCACATGAGCTAGTTGATAATCCTTGTTTGACTGGAGTTTGATCACATGATATGTGGATTTCTCGTATGATCTCTGATTAATGATTTGTGTGGTACTTACAGACTCTACAGCCTCACAAACCTGAACCGATTGTGGAGGGACCGGTGTCGACAGACGACTTCCTCCAGATGAAGAAGAAAGCCTCAAATCTAGAGTCTCAAGTGGGACAACTCACTCGAAACAACAAAGACCTTCAACGTGAACGGGATGACCTCACGATCTTGGTACATCAAATCAATTATCATATGAATACCTTCAAGTTGTTATGCAGTATCATAAAGCCATCACATAGATTATGTTTATGTAATGTGTGTATGTGACGTTACGTCATTGTGAAGCGGACGCAATTTTCATCGTTTCAGAGGCGGCCAAGTTTCAGATCACAATTATTCAGTTTACTTTGTATTATTTGATAAAAAGAATCTCATTCGTTTCCTTTCATATTAGATTGATACTCATTTTAGATTTTTATACGCCCGTCAAATTTGACGGAAGTATTATGATATGAGGTTGTCCGTCCTACCGGCCAGCGTAAATTTTGTTTGTCCGGCAATCTCCTCCTACATTTTTCGACCGATCTCTTTGAAACTTGATATACATTATAATCATGATATGAAGTTGTGTCTCACTTAAAAGAATTTTGATTCAACGATTTTTGCAAAAGTAATTGCCCTTTGTTCATTTCAGTATTTGAATTTTTGTCCGGAGATTTTCTCCTACATTTTTTATAGCATGTCAGCTAACCACTCTAAGAATGATGCAGAGAGATCTTATTTCAATGTAAGAAAGTATATAACACTATATGGCATTCAACGGCCGTATATTGTTCCGCCCCGCGGTATTCTTGTTCATATTTGCTTGCCACAGGCTCGGCTCCCCAACATGAAAAATCCAAAAATTGTATCATAAATCTAATATGAAGGGAAACTTATGACAGATCCTCTATTTATATTACTGTACATATTATCAGGTACCAGTATATGTAATACAACATTCATCATACAGAATTAATGCTGTAATATAGCAACACCTTTCGCTATGAAGCTGTGTCATCCTGAAAGATCGCCTTATTTTGTCACAGTAGCAACAGATAATATTCCATGACAGCTTTGTTTTCAATCTGAAATGATAAGAGCACCATTTTAGTGGCAGGATCTAGGAGTTATCTTGCTAACAAAAATCTCAATTGACCATGTATTGCTTGAAATTATAAAATAGCAAGCAAACAAAATTTGGCAATCAAATTGAGAACAGAAAAAAAATCTGGAATTTTAAGATAAGCAGTTGAATTATATTTCTTAAACCCCATGGGGATGTCCTAATTAGGATGAATGCGGTTTCCAGTAAATTCTGATAAAATGATATGTGTTGTTTGTATATGGAAAAGTCCTGGACCAGATATCAGAGGTATGATCAAAAGAGCTTTACTGTGGTTCATCTGGGTATGTTTTGAATAATTTCATATTTTGTTATTTACTACATCTTATAAAACTATATTTTAATATTTCGTTACCCTGTTACAGGTACAAAGGTTAACGAGAGAGATTTCGATACTGCGGGATCACACCCAGCAGATCCAGCAGTCGCTACACATCATACCCAATGGATACGACGGGCAGGCCAAACAAGGTCAGGACCGATACCAGTCCACCGTACAGGGTCAGTATGACTCTGGGGGCTCAGGAGGCGAAGACCCGTTTGACTGTGGACCGTCTGAAAGGTGTGAAGGGTACGATCCAGGAGGCCATGACCGCCCTGAAAGTGTAGAGGAGAGTCCCCGCTCCAGCACTCGGCCTCAGTCCATGTTTGAACCACGGGACCAACAGCGTCTCTCACAGAAGGTATGACTTAAATCTGTATACCCATACCTGTGCTGTATTCTAATAAACACACCTCCTTTAAGCCGAGTTTTTAAGCACCCTTGGCACTAACTACAGAGAATATGGTACACAATTTCATTATGCCCACACCATTTTAGGGCATAACACATGGTTCCATCACATCATGATTCATTATCATGACTCTACCAATTTCATTTCTTAACAGATTTTCATCGAAGTTTTTACAAAGGTCAGATATGAGAATACTTCGGATGAGTTCATATTTCAGAGTGGCAAGCTAAGATCAATGATGAGGTCTGATACTGTGCAGTATTAAGATAATGTGTCTCATCGAAAAATGTTACTTGGAAATCTCTATAGTGTGTTATAAGAACCTAAATAATGGCATGATCAAATCAGTAAACGAGTAATGTAGGAATCTGCAATCATTCCTCTCTTATGGGATGACACCATCTTGAAAACAAATATACATTTTAACTATATGATTTGTCACTTTCAGAGTCAATCCAAGGATTCATTACAGTCAGCGCAGTCTCTGGCTAACATACACGTACAGGAGGAAGTTCAGGTCAGTATAGTATATATGAAATCTATATAGTAAGAGGCACGGTAGTCTAGTGGTAGGATGCCGGGCTCATGACCGAAGGGTCGCAGGTTCAAATCCCATCATAGCACTGTGTTGTATTTTTGAACAAGATACTTTACTCTGCTTATTTCAGTCTACTCAGCTGTAAATAAGTACATGGTTGGGCAGTGCTAGAATTGTAGAATGCTAGCTGTGAGCCCCGAAATGGCAGCACTGGCTGTATGCTCCCCACAGAGTTGAGAAAGATATTGGCTGGTTGCATAGGCCTTATAACCACAGATAATAATTTGTAAACTGCTTTGAGACAACCTAGGTTGTGGTAAAGCCGTATATAAGAACCTCAAATTATTACTATTTTTATATTATAGCAGCAATATAAAAGTAATATAGTTTTCGGCTCTTCAACAACATGGGCTCACCAGGGTACATTCCCTCTCTACTTATATAAGTGTGGTTATATGGCAGAAAGGTTAGAGCTCATTGAGAGTTTTGAAAAGTTTCACTATGAAATGAGCTAGGAGTTTAGAGTTAGGACACCAATCTTTGAGCTAAATACCTGCCTGTCAGTATAAATCACTGTCAGAGTTGTATTCTGGAAAATTATAATATCTTGTAGTGTTAATGTTGACATTCTTATGAAATTTAACCATCTGGAAACCTAAATTCTATGGAATATGGAATCTAAACATGAAACGTTATTTTGTCATTTATGTAATAGTCATGCTTTCTGAAAATTTCATTAGTATGCATATAGAAAGTTTTTTGCTATGTAATATAGAAATTATCTTAAATGTTAGCAAATTTTAACCTGGGACCATTATTTACAGGTGGTGGCGTCTGACTCGTCAGAAGAACTACAGAAACCTGTAGGGCCAGACCTGTCTCACTACGACTGTCCAAGCTCTCTACCCCTAGAACCAAGTGCAATAAACCACAGGTTTGTATGGTGATCTGAAGCCTCTCTAGTTGTCTCCCCTTCCTAGGGAATTTAAGTCTCCCATTTCTAGGGGTGGAGAGATATCTTCCATCCCTAGTGGGTGTGTGGAGGAGGTTATACTATTGTGTTGGTGTTTTCCCTCTCTGGTTGTCTCCCCTTCCTAGGGAATTTTAGTCTCCCATTTCTAGGGGTGGCGAGATATCTTCCATCCCTAGTGGGTGTGTGGAGGAGGTTATACTATTGTGTTGGTGTTTTCCCTCTCTAGATGTCTCCCCTTCCTAGGGAATTTAAGTGGGGCGGAGAGATATCTGCCATCCCTAGTGGGTGTGTGGAGGAGGTTATACTATTGTGTTGGTGTTTTCCCTCTTTAGTTGTCTCCCCTTCCTAGGGAATTTTAGTCTCCCATTTCTAGGGGTGGAGATATATCTTCCATCCCTAGTGGGTGTGTGGAGGAGGTTATACTATTGTGTTTTCCCTCTCTAGTTGTCTCCCCTTCCTAGGGAATTTAAGTCTCCCATTTCTAGGGGTGGAGATATATCTTCCATCCCTAGTGGGTGTGTGGAGGAGGTTATACTATTGTGTTTTCCCTTCATCAGTACATGCTGCTGTCTAGTTGACTTCCCCTCTACCAAGAGCTTGGACAACAAATGTTCTGTTTACAGAACTCGTTGTTCAAATATTTGTTAAGGCCCCTTTTCGCATATCCAGTTTGACCCTTTTTGTCTGTTTTTAAGTGTAGCATTTTTGGGTACAAATCCTTGCGAACCTGCAAATGTTTATGCAGGCCTTGCATAGCATTTTCAAAATTTTACAGTAAAACACTTGTTATGAGTTTGTCAACACAAGATAACCATATAAAAATATAACAAGTCTTAAATTTCTTAAAATGTGATAATATTACAGTCAAGAGCCAACGCTGGATGCCAATGCTAACCAGGAGTGTGAACAGGGAGCGACCAGCCACGATGGATGTGTGGAGGAAGACGAGCTTCCAACACAGGAGGAGGTCATGAAGAAAACAGAGAGGATCACCAAAAACATCCAGGAGCTCTACCTCTCAGGGCAGGAGGGCAAACATGACAGGTTAGACTAAAATAAAACTGAAGTAGCAATAAACAGGAACTTCAAAGGGCAGGAGGGCAAACATGACAGGTTAGATTGAAATAAAACTGGAGCAGCAATAAACAGGAACTTTAAAGGGCAGGAGGGCAAACAACAGGTTAGATTAAAATAAAACTGGAGCAGCAATAAACAGGAACTTTAAAGGGCAGGAGGGCAAACATGACAGGTTAGATTGAAATAAAACTGGAGCACCAATAAACAGGAACTTTAAAAAGTCATGGGAGAATATGGAATCATTTCTGGAACAGTGTGTTGTAGAACTGGATAATACAGAAATAACACTATAGATACAGGACTACAGCAGCAAACAGTGTGTTCTAGAACTGTGGTTTAACAGGAATTACAAAGCTGCTCACTATAGAAACATGATTACAGAAGCAAACTATAAATTATAATGACATACAGAATTTGATTTTGCTAATTAATTCTGAATTTAATTAATTAGTCCCCCACCAGTATTACAGGAGGGGACTTTAGATGTACATCCCATCTGTTTGTGCATAATGTCACTTACACTTAAGAAATTTGGAGGTGATGGTGGTGTGTCTGATAATGAAATCAAGTTCTGTTTCCAATAATATTCAGAGTTATGTCCCTTTGTTCATTTTTCATTCCAAACTGGGTTGCTGTCAAATCTTGGCTTTATTACAATAACATTTCTGCAGATCACATTTACTTCTGCGAACTTCTGTGAATAATAAACAGTATATGATGTATATCAATAATCGTAATTTAAGATGAATTCTGAAAGGTGAATTAAGTAGAAATATCATTTGACAGCTTCAAACCCATTAGAATGCAATGTAAGTCATTTGGATATATTGGTATAGATTGCATATTAAATATTTAAAAAAAAAAAATGTTTAAACATGACAGTTATGTGTTCAAACTGTTGAAAAAAGACCTTCACGCCAATGAAGTTAAAAGTAATAAGAAAAACAAAAAACCTACATGATTATAAATTGTATTGTATTATTCAAATCTCTGATCTATAATAATACAAGTAACTTGATACATCATGCTTTTTTGCAGCTTCGGACCATGTGCCGACAGAATCCATTCAGCAGTATTAGATATGGCCTCCTTGTTTCCACAGGTACGTACTATAACATAAGGGGCACTGTACGCAGTATTTTCATGGGATGAAATAAGTTACCTGCATCCTTAAACATTGGATGGCTTTTTGGGCGTACACAAAATCCAATCTTCGGTCAGGATACTCAAAATCTGACCAGATTAATTTTATTGACCAAGGTTTCCCTCCAAAAGCAAAAGTAGTCCTGATTACTTCAATGATATAGATGTGAAAATGAATGACACATAGAGAATTTGGTTATTTCTGTCAACAGTAGAGATCTAGGAATTCTTGTCTCAGTTATTTACAAGTATCAGTATTTTCAATTTGACCAATTTGATGTCTTTAGCACAAAATCATTTTCTCTACAGAGACCACAATCAGAGAGTGTAAAGTGTGCACTGCACATGTTGACCACAAGTGCGCGGCGATTACGAGAGGAATGCCTGAATGGACATCCAGGGGACATGGACCCGGAGCTGGAGATCCCACTTAAAACACAGCAGGTGATGCAGTGTGCATTCGACATCGCCCGTGCAGCCAAACAGCTAGTGACTCTGTTCCAGTGACATGTGCTAGGCATGGTGTATATTGCTGTCTGCTCCCGCTCTACTCTCTAACTCAATAGTCATACTCTCTAACCTGTGTTTACATCGAACTATCCATGACGGAATCTCAGGGCCAGTCGGGGCTCACTTCTAGGAAATTTCATCGTACACGTAAGGTCCAAGGAATCACAACAGTTCATAGGCCTGGAAATATGTGTGAAGAAGAAGGCTGTGGGTATAACATTTACACCACTACATCAAAAGAGAAATCTATCTTAGAATTTGGCATTTAACAGCTGTCTAAAGGGAGAACTTTTAAAATATTTTGGCTTCCTGAATGTCAATTATCACAGGGGAAAGCAAACGCCTCTGTTATGTTTAAAAGTTTCCTAGAATTATCGTGCAATCAAGCCCTATACTTGAGGGTATACTAAGGTTGTGTAGTGAGTACAAAAGAGAGGCTAGGTATATACCTGGTGATGTGTGGTACAGTGTTCTTATATGTAAAGAGCTCTGTTACCTAACTCAAATGTACAAAACAATTTCTTCAACATTTTAAGATGTCTTAAATTACATATCTTTTTTGTCCTTCTCTTCAGAACTACTTCCACAGTATTCAAATCCCAAATAATTTTACTTTAGTGATAAATCTCAATATTTTTGGAAGTATTCTTTATGGAAGATTTTTCGCTTCAGCTTTCTTTGATCCAGCTGCAGGTCATTGCACTAACCAGGTTTTTGAAAACTTGAGGTATGAAAGATATTAATTTTTTAATAAGATCAGTAGGAAATTGTTCTGTTTCAGATCAGTAGACATGTGTTTGAATACTCTGTGTCTTCTGTTTGTGACAGAACCTCATTTTAATGTCAATTCAATTTTAGACACATTATGTTATAATAAAAGGGCTTCTGAGAAATGATCAAGGGAGATAACTTATGGAGAACCAGTAGAAACTGGATCTCTTTTATGTTTGAAGTTTTACTTAATACCTGCCTAACCTAGTCATTTGCAAATATTTATACCAACTGTTTATTTATTATAATTTGTCACACTGAAGTCTGGTAAAACTTTTTCAGGACTTCAAAATCATTAATTTATGTGTCTGGGTTTCTACATGATAACCCTATACACAAGAGCTAGGTTTAGACTTTAACTGTCAGAAATGATAGTGTAGGAACATTCTATTGTTTTTAATACATATTCTTGGGTCAAATTCTAGTAGTCCAAAGCATTATTTGAATTACCTATAAAGCTATACAAAATTTAGGTAATTTATATTGACTTGAGGCAAAGTTTTAGAAATTAATTTGTTAATTAGTAGCCTAGTGACAATTGTCACAGGGTTATTTATGGTCTTGTCTAGAATTCATAGTCCCAACTTCATATTTCATAGCAAATGTTGAAATCTTTAAAAAAAAAATCAAAATGTCATATTTAAACAAACCATATGTATTTCCCCATCATAGATATACATCAGACTTTAGTTTAGATGTGTATTACATGTTAACATTCAACCACCATCGTGTATATAATCATACAATTCATCGTAATCACTGTTCTCATAGATCAGATTTCATTGTATCACATCATGTTACACTAGACTAATGATAACAGATAAAATACACCTGATCCAGTAGCTAGTCTGTCCTGCTGTCTGTACATCTTTGACTGTCCCAAGCCTGCTGTTAATACATTGGTTGTCTTGCTGTCCATACATATTTTGTCTGTCCTTCTGTCCGTTATTCATATATCTGTCCTGCTGTCCACACATTTTTCAGTCTGTCCCTCTATCTATACATGTTTCGGTCTGTCTGTTAGCCTATTGATCTGTCCACTTGTCTAATTGTTCATTCCTCTATCAATCGGGTCATCAATATAAACAGCTGTGGATCCATTACAATTTGATTCAGTCAATATGAAGTGTTGATTCATGCTTTTTTCATTTTAAGATATTAAATTATTGGATGTTTGAATGGTGATTATGTAAAACTACAAATTATTTGACATATGCAAAATCTTGTAATTCGTTCTGACTATTATAATAGTGGTTTGTTGTGTATTCGTTGTTTTTACAAGTTCTCAAGTATGTTTTGCTATGATTTTATGTATTAAGTAAGCCAAAGACTTGATTTTATCCTATCTGCCCTATTGTGTATATGCTCAAGTGTGGCCTATGTAACGGACTGACAGAGAGATTCTCTCTACACGAGGAAAGCAAGCATGTGCATGTGTCTTGAGTGATATATTGTCATTGATCATACTCATTTAATATAATTGCAATATATGTGAATAACATTTGTATCTAGCGTGTCAAGTATTTCAATATCGTTAGTGTAAATAACTAGTGTTGATTAGTCATTCTACCGTGTTAGATATCATTGCGTACCTAGTGAGGAGCAGGGCGTGCCTGTGTATCGACGTTTTATCATAATCTGTACATAGTTGTGTATAACATGGTGCTTTTATAACCAACAACACATAGCACTAGATGTTGTGTATGTGACTATTACACACAGGGACTTGTAACCTGGAACCAGAAAAATAAATTACACTTTAGACGGGTCTTGTGTATAGATATGGGAAATCTGATGTAATTGCTTTTAGGATGTAAACCTCTGTGGAGTTATCGGTACACACAGGAGCTTGTGATCTGGAACTAGAAAATAATTACACTTTAGACGGGTCTTGTATATATACAGATATGGAAAATCGGATACAATTAGTTTCAGGATGTAAACCCCTGTGGAACTACCAGTACACACAGGGAATATATATAATGTAGCATGAAACCAGAGATTGATAATGCTTCATTGGGAAATGTAATACAAATGTATTCAAGTTACAAATCACTGTAACTACACACAGGGGCTTGCAACATGAAACCAAAAGATATTAAGTACGCTTCAAGAGACGGGTATTGTATATGTGTATGGAAAATTTCATAGAGGTGTTTTCAGGCTGTAAGTCCCTGTAGAGCTACACATGTACACAGGAGCTTGTAGCATGGAACCATGAAATATTACATTTGGGCCAGGCCATTTATATGCAAGATCTATACTAGTACACTACAAGTGTAAAACTAAGGACTGTACACTCAGGTTACAAACCCCTGTGGCATTACTTAGCAGTATATCTAGATACTGTAGATGGGAGTTTAAATTTAGCTTTGCCAATTTGGCCGAGCTGTAGTTTCATGTTTTATACCATGCATTGTTCATCATTTATAACAAATGTGTGTGAATTTTAAACTGTTTCATTCTTGCTTCCCTCTTTCGTTCTACCTGTGGTGTAAGTAACAGTTTGTGAGACCTTGCTTAGTAGATCAGTTGTAACAAGTGTTTTCTCCTGTAACAACATGTACACTATCTTTCTCTCCACTGGAGCTGGGAAATACTGTATACCAGGAAATTTGTGCCACAGTTCAACCTTCGCCATTTTAGCCCTCCATAGTGAGGGCAAAATATCACGACAGTGATAATAAGTACACAACATAGTAAAAAACATGTGAAGGGCGAAATTAACACTTCACGAAAAACGGATCTTCAAGGTTAGGGTGAAAAATTTGACTGGGCAAAACTTTCCTGGCATACAGAATTTTGTGTAACCCACATGTGAGTATCAATCTTGACATCATTTCATTGGTCAGTCTCTTAATGATGATGTCGTTTGATCAGATGCTTTGAATCAGCATCTTTCTTTGTGATGTTGTGACTCATTACCATAGCAACTGTTTCCCGGATTGGAAATGGGATCATGTATTCACAAGAGATGGTTTTCCAGATATATCAGTGTTATGGGAGAAAAAAAGTCCTCAAACTCATACAGATTGGTTTTCATGTTACCAAATTAACATTAGTTAATTTTCAAATTCTATTCAGACTGTCTTTATAAAGTTTGAAAACAAACTAACTTGAGGTCGATACACATGATATCTAACCAACACTCATTGGGAAACCTATATATCACTCATTCTACAGCCAGATTGGAGAATATACACATGATTATATCTCAAGTTCTCAATATCTCCTGTGATCACCATTGCACAAGGCCACCTAAATCGTATTTACAATTCATAATTTTATCTGAAGTAGCAATATATCTGTACTAGTTCAATGTGTCGGGTCTCACTGGATTTTGTTGCGTTAGAATTGGAGAGGGAAGCAATAATGCTTTTATGCTCAATGCCTTTGATATTGCCTTAGATTATGTTCCTTTTCCATCCACACTTAGAGCTATGGTAGGCCGAGGTCAACGGAAGACATAGCTGTAGACTAGGGGACATAGTGTTTGCTGTCCCCCTCGTTTTGGGCTCTGTAGTCCTTCATTGATCTATTTAACAATCCTAGAACAAACAATCAGTTGATGCACATGACATTAGTCCCTTCAATCACCCTGTCATTCTGCTTGAAAAAGTGTCATGTAATTATAGCTATTGGGAAATGTTAACATTTCATTGGTCCCCCAGATAAACCAATCAGATACTTGAGAGAAATTAGCTGTGAAACTCTGTTGAAAGTTGCTGATTTCCAATGGCTCCTCACATAACCAGAGGGTGCACTTGTCCTGAAGGGTCCCAAAGGTACCGTAAATCTATAACAGTGTACTTATATATCACAAGACACTGCATACAGCTTAGATTCCATTGTTAACTTTTCACTTCCGTGAAGAAAATTACTTCTAAATGCATTTTGAAGATTTCCAGGTATGAAGTATTTCTTGACTAGAAATAACACAGCTTCAGATTCACAGTACCAGAAATAACACAGCTTCAGATTCACAGTGCCAGAAATAATAACACTGCTTTGAAAACTACCCTCAATACAGTATATAGAGGATATTTAATGATTTCCCGTTGAATAACATATCTATTTCAAAAGTATGGCAGAAAACGGATATTTTTTACGAGTGCAAAGGAGCATTCCCCCCCCCCCCAGATTATGTTATTTCCAGTTAAAGAAAGTATTAACCCTTTCACCCCTAGGTAACTTAAGTAGACTCTACCATACATTTATCTGGATGAGTCCATTGTGGTCCACATACAGTGGTGAAAGTATTAACCTATACATCTACAATTTATTGATTTGGTCATTGTGATAGCTGACCCTTTCACTGTTGATCACTTCATGTTCGCATGTACTTTTGTCACAAACGCTGCCTCTAGTGGGTCTTTTTTTACGAATACTTTAATTGAAAATTGAGAGGATGCTATACTATTTCACTATTGACAAAAATTATCCATGGAATTAATTTAATAGCTGAAAGTTTAAATTTGCAAATTAGTCTCCTCACATTAATTTATGGCCATCATTAATTAATGCAAAAATGCAATTCAGCATATGTATGCAAGTGTGGCATCATGTAGATAAATCAATTTAAATTATTCCTACTTAACTTTTTCAAATTGAAGTTCTATTTTTTTGTATAGTGATAAAATTAAAAACATGTCTGGTACTTATTTCTTGATAGGGAAATAGACAACAAAGATCATTTATGATGGAATGCAGGATAAACAAAACCGAGGTGGAATAATACTATCATATAAATATTTGTACAGCATTTGTTTTCCTTATATTTTATAATATGGATTCTTTGACAAATTGTTTGGGGGGGATACTTTGCAATAATATTCATTTTTTAGAATTCGGGTGTCCAGTGCTGTCTTGCGTGATTTTTTATGGGCAGTGGCAATATATTTGATTGAATTGCAAATGCTTCTAGTTTTTTGTTTTCAAATCGAGTGAACATCCTTGTCGTGAAGTCGAGTGGTACTGGTTTAGATTGATCGTATGTCGAACACTACGACTTTGTAGGTATAAATTACGCTACAGATTGTAAACTGCGTGATATATAGTGACCACTGTAATTACCTGTAATGTATTCAAACATTAAACTGTAGTACATGTAGTGTACGAAATGTATTGTATCATACCTTATACTGTCGCTGTATTTACATCTTACACTAGAGATATATACAATGTTGTATCACTATGTAAAGATATCTATTTCGTTGGTTCAGATTTTTATCGAGTTTGAAAATTCCATGAAATTTCATGTTTTTTACAAATTTGTTTAGCTCAACTAGAACTAGTCTTAACATTTCGAACTTCATGCTGATTTTTTTTTAAATTGATTCAATAAATTTCCTTGGATATTGAAAGGAAATTACAGTTTTCTAGCCCTGATGGCTTCCTGTCTTCACCCTAGCTCTCTGCCATTGAAAACAACAGGTTCTTTGTACACAAAAACGTAGTACGTGTATTTACAGTAAGCATTATAATGATTTTACAATATTTTGCATGCTGGTTATGCTTCAAAATATAAAGATTTTAGAAGTTATGATGTTTCTTCTTCTATTTCATGAATTTGTCCTATACCATTTATACAACACATGTAAACTGGCTCTCCTATCTTGGAAGTTGACTATTTTGGCTTGCGAAAGTTTTGCTCATGAAAATTTGCCCAATGTTTGATTCACTCTTTTAATAGACACAAAACTGACTTCAAATATCATACAGGTTTTGAAATATGTAGATGCCAAGTTTATCAAATAATTTGTCCTCTGCAAGGCAAAAAGAAAAAGAAAAAAGAATAAACAGACTGAGGGGAAAAAAATGCTAAACAGTTGTGAACCTACATCTATTTTTGAGGGATAACTTTACAAATCTGAGGTGAATATTTAATTAATCTTGTGTTGATTTTTTATTTTTTTTTAAACTAATTAAATTTCACCAAAGTAAGAGCAAGGTTGTGTTACTGTGACAGAAGTAGTTGGTTGTATTTAAAATACATATACAGTATACTCTATTTATATATGACAATACCAAGACTAATTTGGTGTATAGGTAGTAATTATAACAATCAGGAAAGAAATCCACGGACAAAACTTTTGATAAAAATAGTGAACAATATTACTTTATTACTTTATCATTTGGTCTATTAAATTGTTTTAGAAGTACATTGAATATACAATTTCCTGTCATTCAGCTAGATTTATAACAGTCAAATGTTTGAACTACATTTTGATTTGATCAAAAACATACTCACAACCACAAGAGGTTCATTACAGGTGGTAGAAACTTTTTAGCATATATTTTTACCATTGAGGTGAGTATGCTATGCAAATCATGTATTCGGTTTAATTTGTATTTAAAGATAGCTTCCAGGCCTATTGGCAATTCCTTGAAAATAATTTGTTTAATGTATTTAAATAATTATGAATATTAACACAAAACAATAGCGTAACAGACTTAGTACAATTCACTATAACCATTCATGTTTTGATGAGGTCTAAGAGATGACATCAGGTTGGAGACTTTGGTAAAAGGAAACACTCCTTATAGTCCTGCATGCATATTATAGTATATCTTTAGCCAGTTAGGGAATTGCTCATGTGCCATCGCTATTTGTTCATTGTAGATTTTTATCTGTAACCCATTAATTATCATATGTATTGTTTTACCATAACTACCCAGCCACGACTATTATACTACTCCCATAAGTAATGGTTGATATAACTGACATTGTCTTATTTTGTACAATAAAACAAGAATGCTCATAAACCAAAGTTGTTCATTTTGTTTTGTACATGAAAAGGACTTTTATCAAACATCATATGGTTTTATCATGTACTGTCAACAAGGCATGTGAACAAGAATGAACACCCGTTCTATGAAAACATTGCAATAATGCAAATTAAGGGTGGGCGATTTTAGGTCACCTAATTAGCCAAAGGCTAATGACAACATTATCAAGCAAATTCCATAAGGCCCAGGGTTTTGATATTTACCTGTAGGTACCTAGGATTAAGTGCTAAAAAGTCTCCTCATATCCATTGGGCAGATATGTTCAAACCTTTGAACATTATCTGAAGAACCATAAGGTCTAGAGCTGAGCCATGATACCTGGATACATTATGTAAACCAGGTAGTGTGAATATTTGTCTTTGTCTGTGGGTCAGAAGTTGAAAACAGGTGAGATCCTAAGCATATAACATCTATATGCTTGATGGGAATGAAAGACAAAATCATGCTACCATGATAAGCTCCAGGATCTGTTCCTGCCCCTAGGAACTTATTCTAAGGTCATTACAACCAGATTTGCTATAATGCATCATAATGGGACCAGAGAAAATCCAATGGAGCCCAAATGAGGAAATATTTACAACTTAAAATTAGAATGTTTTGCCGTAATTGCTTAGAGATACAGGCCATCTGAGCCTCTTGTTTGATGACAGATGGACACACTGAACCATGGCATATTCGGTGATCCTGAGAGTTTTGGGATAGAAAGTCAACAACTTGATTATGATTATTGGAAATTTTATTTTCCTCTTATCAGCTCACATCAGTTCAGCAACATCAGATAATTATTCAAACACAACATAAATATAATGCATCACTGTATGATAAAGCAGAAGATCAAAGAAACAAAGTCAAAACAGAACATAACAGACAAATTGATCCCCATCAACCTTAAGTATGAACAGTGAAGCTTCATTAATCCAGCCACCTTTTGTTCTCAACAAATAATCCAGCCACTTTCATTCCTGGTACACTATATATTTAAGCCTCTTTCGTTCACAGTGGATAGTCCAGCCAACTTCCTTCCCAGCAAAAGAGGCTGAGTTATGGGAGCTGGCTTAGCATACGTAGAGGTTTTTTAAAGACTAGAAAATGTGTGTAACATATACATGTGCTTGACCAGCTGCTTTAATGGAAATGGAACAAAACGCAAAGTCTATCCAGAGAAATGGAGCTTAATGCAAAATATTGGAAGGTGGCTGTTCTAGTCATTGACCTAGCATACAAGATGCACTATTTTGAACTATATGCAGCATTTTAATCACAGGTCAAATTATTTTCTAGGATATTGAATAAAAATGGTCCAAAAATGGTAAACATAAGCTCTGGAATGTGTTGATATTGCAATTACAGTCAATCTGAATGAGATGGCTTTGCAGGCAAATAAATCTATTGCACATTGTAATGTTTGACTGCAAAGCAGTGTCCTTCATATAGACTGTAAATGCCAAATCAACACAGTTCAATTCTTTAGTGTTTGCAACAGAATGTGTGTTGCACTGATCTACATTTGATGTTTTGGTGTAGTGCTCGATACATATCCACATGAAGCTTCGATGACTTTCGGGATATTACGAATAATGGAGCTAAACACAATATCTAGCCAAGGTACAGACTGACCGAAGGAAAAGGGGAGCATTCTCTACGCTATGTTGCAGCGGCATAACTTGGGTTTTTGAATTTGCAAACTGATTCCTTAAGATGAGGCTGGATTAATGTAGCTTGACTGTACTTGACCATTTTACCCTAAATTTATCTATATCACAATCAAACAGAGCCAAGTACCATACACAATATATCTATAATCATTAGTCAAATTCAGGACAGTTTAACAAATATGCTGGCTTACTATAGCTGTCTCAAATCTACTGAGAAAGACTTTAAGTCGAAAATGACTTTAAGCCGTAAAATATCTTTCAAAATGAATGCCATGTCTGATGCTACAATTGTGTGAAATAACTGAGACATCTCATGTCTATAGCAAAGTCGGACCCCGCTTTCTTTCCACTGGACAAACAATTTTGTCCATGTCATTATATAAAAGATTGTGTAAAAAGTATGAATCACAAACAATAACATAATAAAAACTTTTAAATTCCATATATTTTGTTGTGTTTTAATCTAATTTTTTCAAATTGATGACATATATTTAAACTATTGAAGCCTTTGACTGAGGTCAAAGACATGGTCAAGGTCTATATGTCTTTTCTCGGGTTAATAAACACTGGTATCAACCTCAATCGAAGGCTACATGTACAATTAAATAATCAGGGTCCTGTCCTCAGCTCACTAACACTCTTATAAAGTTCAACCCTTTCACCACTGTAGTTCATAATGGTCTCATCCAGATCAATGCATAGTAGAGTCTACTAAAGTTACATAGGGCTGAAAGGGTTAATAAACAACCTCACTAATCAACTCCTTACAATCCATGTTTATAATGCTTGGCACCAATATGCATTACCTAAAAGGAAACACAGTGCTCAGTTAGAATATAGCTGGTAGCAAAACACTCAGTAGAAATGAAAAGTTTATCACATGTGGAAGATAGATCTGTTAGAAAACAAATGAAATATATGAATGGAATATTCCTGTTTGTAAAATTGCAATATATTGATTATCAGCAAAAAGCGAGAAAATGTAGTGTTCTAAATTAACAATGATTGTTAAGTCCTATTTCTTTCGAAATGAACTACAAAATGTAATAAATGATGTAAATAAGCAATTGAGGAAAGAAAATTAACCCATTCACCCCTAAAGTCACATTTGAACTCTCCAAAAAAAAGACTGGGCAAGTCCAGTTTAAAAATGTAGGGGTGAATGAGTTAACATATATCCATATTACATGATAACAGTATGTCATAACACATATAAATATAAATAATATATTTAGAGACACTTATAAACATCACAAAACATTAGATATCTTACAATCTACTATTTGTTTGCCTTTGACACTTAGACTGTTAATTCACACTTAATCAGTTTGTATAAATACCGCTCAACACTCGAGAACTTTAATAAACCAAGCTCTTCCATCCACACGACCTGCTTACTCAGATACACGGAAATTAAACATGAGACAGAAGTTAAGCACAAAAAAAAGGAAGAAAAAAACAACACCACCATCACAAATTGTCCCATATACAAGATGTAAATTAGTCAGTTAATATTTACTATTATAAAGATATTTTATTTTTTTTGATGGATAAAGTTTCATTCATGACCTCAACTTGATAGAAAACATTTCTAGCTAAGTAACACTACAGACCTAATCATCATAAAACTGCAAACTTAACACGGCAAAAAATGTGAATTTCTCATATAAGCGGGATAATAAACGCAAAATCAATTCTGTATACAGTACTATGTTAATGATGACAGTCGAGCAAGTTAGAATGCAGGTTGTATGTACAGTACTTACGGCATATGTTAGTGACCACATTCAGGTAAGATGGAAAGCAAGTTTCCTGAAGTTTCTATTCAAGAACTTATAATTTGCCTCAATTACTTCCAACTGACAAATCTGTTTCCAAATATTTTTTAAAAATCTACAGATAGTATTTCCTGTATTGTGAAAACCTTCAAGATTGCTGATATATATTTTCTAAAATGTCTAGTGGAGAGAAAAGAAATTTTCAACAAAATAAAACATTAGATATCAATACATTCAGAGGAACTACTTCATGCTTTTGGCACTATCTCTTGCTTACAATTACCAATCATGATCACATGTTATTCACACTAGCAAAATTAAATTTCTGGCATTCTTAAGTTATTTGTTCAAAACCAATGTACGACACTACTGATTTCACAAGATAAGTTCAGTACAAATGAGGGCACTTGATTTCCCCAACACTCCCACTTCAGTACCATTGTACATGGACACTGGTTGAGGCGTCCTTACCACTTCAGTACCACTGTACAAGGACACTGGTTGAGGCGTCCTTCCCACTTCAGTACCACTGTACAAGGACACTGGTTGATCGAGCGGTCCTTCCCACTTCAGTACCATTGTACATGGACACTGGTTGAGGCGTCCTTACCACTTCAGTACCACTGTACATGGACACTGGTTGAGGCGTCCTTACCACTTCAGTACCATTGTACAAGGACACTGGTTGAGGCGTCCTTCACATTTCAGTACCACTGTACAAGGACACTGGTTGAGGCGCCCTTCCCACTTCAGTACCACTGTACAAGGACACTGGTTGAGGCATCCTTACCACTTCAGTACCACTGTACAAGGACACTGGTTGAGGCGTCCTTACCACTTCAGTACCATTGTACATGGATACTGGTTGAGCCGTCTTTCCACATGGAATTGTCCGTGTGTATCTGTGCCCTACACATTGGACATGTCTTTTCCCGATCAAACCACACAGCCACGCAATCGTCGCAGAAAATATGCTATAAAACATGAAACAGACAACAAATCAGCATTTTTTGATACCCAGACTTTGTTCCATGTCTAGAAATGTCTTAAGATGATCTAAGCCTCTTCAAAATTTGTTTAAAAAAAAGCAATTTTACAAATATCAAAGAACAAAATGGTAAGTATGTTAACCCTCAAGTAGATCACTTGTGACTAATTGTGTAATCTTTGTCACCTGTTTAACAAATGTGCTTTACTTAAGCAATGAATATTTTAGCAAATGTTGCTATGGTCCTATAACACACATTGCTATTGATGACAAACTAATAAAGCTCGGTAGGGCTTTATGTAAGTTTGTTAACAATAAAAATTTGCCTTCTCAATGCATCGCGATGAAAGAATGCAGAGCAGATGTAAATATAATACAATAAACCACTGATGATAATGTTAAACTAGATAAAACACTAAATATTGCAGTAGTATAAAGAAAGAGATCAACTTCTTACAATTTTTTTCCTAGCTTTTATAATACCCTGATGAAAACATGGATACACCATATTAACCTAAGCCTATAGGTGGCCTAATTGAGTAATTCTTTGAAAATGAGAGGGAAATGTATACCAGACCAAATATGACCTTGTCGAAATATGGACTTATCACCAAAAATGAAAATTAATGCATCAGTAAGCTCATCTATTCAAAACACAGAAGACGGGCACTACCCAGAGTTTCAAAAAGCTTCATCACTGAAAAATATAGTATTTCATAATGGAATCCAACTGACAGCTTTCACACGTGTCTGGAACATTTCGGTTCCGTCTGAGACAGATAACGTTGTACAATGGGTCTTACCTTGCAATCAAGCATGACTGGGTCTTTGTAGTCATCCTGACAAATGGGACAACCGTCACCTCTTGTTTTTAAATCTGAGCTGTTCGGTTTAATACCATATGTCTGTGTGAGACACCAAAATAGAATTCAGCAAGGGCAATTAAAAACATTTTAACACACTTTCTATTGTAAAAAAATATTTACATGTACCAAATGTAATTTTACAGAATCAAAGCTGAAACTAAATCTGTGCATTTTTTGGGGTACTGGTCTTCAATCTTTCCTGCTTTTTCATAGTAAGTGACTTTCAAAATGTTTTAACCTTAAATATAAGTGAGGAGGCTTGAAAAATGTATAAATTAAGCTTGGTTGAAGTATTGAATTCTGTTCCTTTAAAAAGCATTACATTTTTAGAAAGGATGTGTCAAAGGTACATGTATTATAAACAACAAACATCTCAATCGTATGACCATATTTCATTTTAAAATCTAATGTATCACATCTAAAGCCATAACCAAGTCCATACAAAAAATCTTTTACACAAAGCTTTTTATAAATATGGCAAGAAAATAGACATATTTACATTACCATATTCTCAGACATACATACCTTTTCTCGTAAAAGTTTCAAAAAAGCATTCCGCACATCTCTGGCTTTAAAAAACAACTGATATCCCTGGAAAAGTGAAAGATAACATGGTTTTGACATTCAAGAAATATACACATGTATATGGTTCATCTGTTTTCCCAATACATCAGCAACAAAAATAGGCCCTTTACGGTTTCAGGAAAGGCCTGCTGTATCTCAGTGCAATGTTTTCATATGAGATGACTATGAGCCCCCTGCAGAATCATAGTTTCCTTCTGTATCTTCTAAATCTGCATAGGAATCATTTAAGAAACCAAATTTGATCTGCGGACCCCATTGCATACTTCGGACTTGTTAAGTTAATTTACTTTTCTCGCGTTTCTATTTTTTTCGACAGTGTCTATCTAAAACACCACCCATCTTCAAATAATTGCAGGGTTTAATAAAATAAAACCCCAAACACACATCACACAACATCACTTCATTAACAAAATCTTATTTTCCTCCCCAATACAAATGAATGCCACTAGCTAGGAGCTCTCATGATCGCAAGCTGGTTCCTTTGAAGGTGTAAAAAATTATAGTTTAACTTAAGAATGTTTGTCAAGTGGATTCAAAGGTTTGTGAAAAAAAATACATCATGAATTGATGATAAGCACTGTGTATTCCTCTGATTCTAAATCTTATGTTTGTATTATGCAAAGTCTGTGTCCTTGTCCATCAATACAGAACCCTGTATACATGTATGTAGGGTAGTTACAGCAAAGCAATATGAAATGATGTTTATACATTGATGACCCCTTTGTTTGTGTTTTACGTCCTATTAAGAGCTATGGTCATATAAGGACGTGCCAGGTTTTGGTGGTGGAGAAAAACCACCGACCTACGGCCAGTACCTGGCAACTGCCCCACGTACGTCTCGAACCCGGGACCCAGTGGTGGAGGGCTAGTGGTAGCAGAATGTCAGACGCCTTAACCACTTGGCCACCGCTGCCCACTTGATGACCCCATATCACAATACTTCAATATCAATTCTAATATAGATTTTTCATAATAAAGTCTGTTTCTGTTTATAGCCCTCTTGAAGATAAATGTCCTCATATCTGTCCCATTCAACCTCAGCTGATACCCCAATTCAAATGTTTACTGTGAATATAATCCTATTATCCCATTCAGCTTATAGTACCCGACACCCAGAGTCCGCATTGTACAGTGAATATATACCATTCAACCTTACATGTACCTGTACCTCAATTCAAATGTTTACAGTGAGTATATACCATTCAGCCTTACCTGTACCTCAATTCAAATGTTTACAGTGAATATATACCACTCAACCTTACCTGTACATCAATTCAAATGTTTACAGTGAATATATACCACTCAACATTACCTGTACCCCAATTCAAATGTTTACAGTGAGTATATACCACAACAAGCACAGTACCCTGCATACCAACCTTGCATAAGAAGTAAAAGCAGAGCAGGCCAGCAGCAAACACCCAGGAAAGTCCATCAGACAGGAAGTGGAACCAAGGTACAATTGGTATAACCATTCTATATAACTGCATGACATGTTCCACAAACATGTAGTATTTTCCCTGTAAAGAAACATCAGGTATTACAAGGGTTCAAAACAACCAACACATTACATGAATGATCATGATCAATTACCTTTGTCATTATAACCTTGTGTCCATTGGCGAGTCTTATATTGTATGAATATCTAAAACATTATATGTGATGCTTTTCTAGAAGTAATGAACAGTTATGAAAATACAATTCAGGAAATCAAAAATTTAAATATTCGTTTGCTATGGGCATCAGCCCCAGCTAATAAATGATACGTACAACCTATCTTGTAATTGCTACATAATGGTTCATTACATCCTCACTTCTTCAGGGTTATGCCCACTTTCGCTCTCTTCACCCCTGGAATGTCATATAGCACAATTGAAGGCAGGCAGCTAGCTATTCGATTGGTCTCGGGTAAAAGAACCTGACCAATCACTAGGCTAATACTTGTCCTTTGAAGATTACAGAGGAGCGACACGGTATTTCAAAGCGGGTCAATTTTACCATTACGCGACCGTGAGTTTCTTTTGATGTACACCAAAGGATCAGACTAGTCTTCTCGTCTCATCAACAAGGTGGTGCACACCGAGCCTTCAATTTTGCTATGACATACGCCAGGGGTGCAGAGAATGACAGTGAGCGTAAACGAGGACAGGTTCATTAAGGATCCCTGTCCCACTGCACTTTCAACTTTTGTATATATACAGTGACCTCCCCTTAATTTTCCTTTGGCTATAATTTTAGCACTGTTGGGTCTGGAGTCTTCCATTGACCAGGTAACTCGACAGATTAGGGTGACAGTATAACAACCTAAAATGCAGGTTTCGAATCCCAGTGTAGCCTGGGTGAATTTTTACATTCAAAACACTGTTGATAATATTTTGTTTATTTCATACTCATTATTTTTTATAAAGTCCAACACATGATATGGTTTTCTTTTCAAAAATGATTGATCAAAACTATAGTCATGCCGGGAAAAAAACAGTTTCTAGTTTATACCGTAGTTACAGTTTTGGGCAGTGGTACGAGGAGCCTTAAGAAAGACATACATACAGTGCACATGGTTCCTTGTGAAGAACATGAATACTTCACAGTTTTTTATTTGGAATTTTATAGATGTTTGTTCATTTTTTATCAAAACAAGTACACAAAGACTAATTACTCTGTAAAAGCTTAGTTGAAAATAACTATGTTTTCCTCGTACAGTCATTATAGATTTCAGTGGAATGAGCATTTTTTTGGCATAAACAACTGATAAGTTCTAGGACTTACCCTGTTCTTTGGTTTGATCGGTGCCATAGAGAAGAAGGCTTTAATTATCACAGTAACATATTTCAGCACAAAGTCATTGACACACACTGCCCAGAAAAATATCCAAATGTCTCCATCCCATTTCGCAGGCAACTGAAACATCAACCTAAAATACAAAAGAAAATAGATTAGGCCATACAAAGTTACACTGTTTTCAGTACAATGTAATGAATTAATAAGAGGATCGTTTTGGTAGGCAAACATTAGATGTTTACACATACGGATATAATATAATATCAACTTTATTTATTTACAACAATTATGAAACAAGTTATTTCAACTTATATATATTACTCTTATTGGCCCAGATGTTTGCACGCAGGGAGTCTAAATGTGGGAGGAAACCGGAGTACCTGGACAAAAAAACGTGGTCGGGCAAGGGACCCCAATACCTTTTCACATCCGATCAGGGAATCGAACTATGGCCGCCTTGGTGAAAGGTAAGTGGGCTATGTATGCAGAACAGATCTGACGTCAACAGCACTTATTCGAAATTCACATAAAAAAAATTATAGGACAAATCATTAAATGTAGATAGCATTACCCAAGTATTTAATTACCAGCAATGCAGGTTTAGCTTCACTATGGGGTGAGAGGATATTTTTTTTTATAATTTCAATTATGAAAAAGAATGAACTTTTCTTTCATTTCTTATCTTGAACAATTTGCAAGTTGAACTTATACAGGGGCAAACACTTATTGAAAATTTCACTCTTTTTTGACCTTTGACCTCAAAGTAGTAGTTACATAAGACAATTTTTGTTGCTCATGAAGATTTCAAGTGTAATAATCATATAACAATATTGCTCAAGACTTAAACGTTTCAGCTGCAACAATGTCTTATTCAAACCCAAGAAAGAACAAGTTCTAATGCAATATTGTATCTCATTCCTGTGCATATATGATAGAACTGTACAGGGAAAGAAAGGGTTTAAGATCTTTTTTTTTTTTTTATCTTATAACCCATTTAAATGTGTGACATGCATCACAATGGGACAACAATGATGTTACATCACAAAATCGAGGAACATGCTGATGCCGGGATGTAGAAACTGTGACACCTGTTTGTGGTCTCTTGAGCAAATTCTTGGAATGACAGGAAAAGACTCTTTCATGCCCAGTGGTGAAGGATAGAGAAATTCTTCCCTCTGGATTTGTAAAAGTCTGGTTTTACCATTTTACCAATTTGAAACACACACACACACCCTCGGTGGAATTCCCCTATCTTAAAGCCCTGGGCATGAACGAGTCTTACAGTCTCTCCATATAAAGGCTGCGAGCTGGAGAAGACAATAAAAACTTACACATTCCAGAGTTCCTGCTCCTGGAATACGTAGTACACACAGCCTATGTTGGCAGTCAAGAACATGACGATCCAGAAATATGACAGCAGTACATTGTGTAGCATAGCATCCTGTAAACAAATATAAACTAAATATATCATTGTTCAAATAGGGACTGTGAAGTTCAGAAAGTCACAAAATCTGTGACCTCTTCATAGATAATAGATGAAGCTATTTTAAATCTATAACAATTCATTGAATACATAATTCTGTACTTAAATTGGGCATGTTGAAAATAAATTGAATATCAAATGTGATGAAATTTAACCATTAATGAATAATTTCATTAAAACTCATGAAATAGAAATTCATTATTTATGTTCACAAGTAAAAATCTTAATAATAAACTCATAATATGATACCACCCACATGTACTGTGGTTGTCATCATGGAAAATTGGCATATCCTATGGTTTGGTTATATAATTATGAGATGAAAAATCCAGTTGACAAGGAAAACGGTCATTGAGAGATTATTTATTATAATAGTGCTGTAAAAATGTTAAGTACATCAACAGATTTATACATTAACTCACCCGTAAAGATGACTCATGCACAATCTTTTTGAAAAACATGTTGGCGTAGAAGAAAGTTCCTCCGAGTCCAACAAAAACCAGCATACCTATATGATAATCATTCAATGATTAAAATAATACTGAGCAACAATTATTCATTGAATTGTGTAAATGCGGTTACATTGTAAATTGGTGTATAATTGCTATAGCTCGATGCCCTGGACTAATGAATTTTATGTCAGGACAAGTAAAAATTGAAAACATTTTTTAAAATTTGCCACGACTGAGCCAGTACTCTATATATGAATTTGTATACAACCGCAGTAAAATGATACTTTTCAGCTATTACCAATCATGTTGTTAGATAAAACCAGCTTATTGTTCTTGAATAAGGATTTGTATTTTTTCTGTATTATATAATGTAGACTTGACCTAGTTCACTTGCAGTAGAGTAAAAATTGTATTTCTAAAGGGCAATCTATTATAGCCTGTGATGGTTAGTAATTTATAATTACTGCATGTTAGTGATGGTTTAGATTTGTTTATATTAATATCATTTTTACCTAATAGATGATCCGAGACAATTCTGATGACCAGAATGATGATGAAGAGTAAAGAGTTGAGAAGGAATATACTCCAGTCCATATTGTCCATACCCTGCACAACATGTTGGTGACCATGTTGTCCGTTGTTCTGAGGGCCTGTGTTTTGATTTTCATCATGACCACCCATATTTGCCAACTGAAAATGTTCTGGAGCCATTTGTTGCAGACTCTGAAGGTTTATGCTGCCCACATTGGCCGAGGTTGGATCGAACACCGAACCAAAGTCAATTACAAATGGTTGGTCAGTGGGCCTCTGTCCATTGTTGGGGTCACTAGCTCCTGGCACCACATGTGGGGCAGTGACCTGTGTATGGGGTAAGTGGTGACGTTGTGGGGCCTCCCTAGGCTGTAATACTCCATGTGGTAAAGGACTAGCATGACGTAGGTGTTGGGCAAGCGTGGGACCACTTGGCTGCATGCCGCCACCAGTTCTATTCTCATAGTTCCCAGACGGAAGCTGCCAAACAATTGACTGATTACCACCATTGCCTTCCTGTGATATCTGCATCATTTCTTCAGACATCTTATAATTTATAATTAACAGTCCTGGTAAAAATCTTTTTTCACGTACGTACACACCATTTATGGTGTAAATATTACATTCACCATTTTCTCCAGTTCACATATTGGCTGTTAATTTTTCTGAAAAATATAAAGAATAATAGGGCCTAATGAAGATAAGATAGAAATGCTATATATATGGAACTGTTTTTAATATAGTTAAGTAGTCCATATATATACTGGACATTGACAACCTTTAAAACTATAACAGGTTGCCAGCTTTCAGATACCTTGTGTTATTAAATTTATTCTGTGCATTTTACTATCGCAATGGAAAAAGGTAACATGAATTGATACTGTAGCGATTCCGCAACTGCACAAGAGACGTTACATTTATAAAACCATTAAATTATATGTATTGTGTCACTCTCCGTTTCACAAAGCAGCTTTAGTTCACCACAGGATTCATGTAGCATCTATATAAAACACCTGAACATACCACACTGTATGGCAACCTATACGGAAAGTAAGGGAAAATGAGAGTGAATTGGTTCTATGCTATATGAAGGCTTCAAAATCATATAACATTCACTGAGGCAAATTTAATTTTCTGCAGCTATACCACATTATTTAGAATATTTTGATTTCGGTCTACAGTTCAGTGCACATTTTTTTTATTTGTAACTACATTGTAGGCATGGACACATATGGTGGATAACTTTGATGTAGTGTACGTATTTCATGCAATTATGTTACTTTTAAAAAGTTCTTTTGAAGTCATTTTAACACAAGTACAAATCAGAAATTTTCTTTCTGAATTTTTCAATAAACACAAAGTGATTTTTTTTCTTCTGAATTTTTCGTCACGAAAAATTGTCATAGTTTTCCATTACCGGATTTGTAAGAACATGATTTATTTTTTAAAGGCACATTTTGCTGTGCCATCTGCTTCTTCACCTTACCAAATTATTTTAGAGAAAAATATGCAGTAAATTCTCTTACGGTAATGCTGTGTATCTATGTGTTTTTTTTAATATGATCAATACTGTCATCAGAATAATTAAATGAAAAACAGTGGAAATATGGCATGAGATAAACATTAAAGTATAACTACGGATAGGAAAATATTTCGGCTTATAACTGACATGTGCAAGTATAAATAAATGTTGTTTTAAGAGGAACACCAAATTAAGGCCTAGGTCAAAACTTTTTTTTATAAATGTATTCATAATTGGATATTCAACTGTTTTTCAAGACTTAACAATTCCTCTGTACTTTCGTGTCTTTAAATGTTCTTTGTCTTTTAAAACAGGAGAAAAGGGAGAATCTCTTCAATATGTACTGCATACTTACATACAATATATCACTGTTAAAATTAGCATCTTTTGAATGCATGTATTAACAAACACTAGTCTAAAAATTGTGTGAATCAACTTTTTTATTATCGTTCTTATACTCATATCAGTATTTTACGGTACCATCTGAAGAAAACAAACAAATAGACCGGTAGTAAATGCTAACAGTAATTTTTGACTCCATACAGCCACTGATTTGATACCTTCTTCTGATTTCTTGAGGTAATCAAACAGATCAATAAAAACAAATTGACGTTGCTATTAACAAGTGGTGCTAGACCAATCAAAATTCTGAGATACCAATCATGCATGATCTTAATTCATTCAAAAGCAATTCATTTTGTTGAACAGTTTATATAAGAAAAGAAAGAGATAAGCTATATCGGTCTTGTAATCCTCTGCTGACCGTCTTCTTTACAATTGTTACGAATGCCTGGCATGAAACGTCATGACTCATGATCACTTTTTAACAGAACGATTTACAAATCAGAATATTTCATTAAAAAAATAATGTCCCTTGAAAAATGGAATGGAGTACTTGTCGTGGTGTTGTTGTCCTGGATGACAGGAGTCTCTGTACTGATTGTGGTGCATGTTGTCCTAGGTGCCAGGAGATACCAAAAAATCTGTGAAATTTGTTTAGTTTTGCATAACTTGTTCATGGGTTTCATGTGTGGCCGCTGACTAGGTCTCACCTATTTCATATTAATAGCGCTACAGAGCTAATGTTTCCATTACAACATATACGACTCTAAATACAAATTCTTGTATCTAACACACGGATATTTCCTCATCTTCACAATACCTGGCAGAATCTGTGACGAGTCCAAAACAAATTCCCCGAACCGGAGAGAGACGACGAATTTGATTCGTGAACCCATCTAGCTGTGAGCCAATGAATATGGTGGTTACAAATATTCGCTATTTCCACGTTTTCGTATCCACTGTCTTTTATTTGTAAATATCTTTTTTAGCTAAACCATGCTATTACTAAGAATATAATTGAAATAATGTTTGGAATGCTTTGTTTATGAAAATTTCTACAATTTTATCGATTTAAACGAATTCGAAACAATCGGATAGCAATATTAACATTTAACCCTCCCCCGTCAACCCCCAACCCGAACTCCGAGCAACGAAAGTTTAAACCTTTGTTGAACGGCTCTCCCCTCTACTCAAAGAGGCAATTTATGTTGACTCTTCGTACCTTTAATGGAAGATAAACGAAACATTATATCTTCACAAGTAAAAACTTCACTCTATAAGAATTGTCCAATCTGAACGCTACATTATATTTTTTGCGTAGATTTTTAGTTTCAAGTTTAGATGAAGTGACGGCAGAATAAGTGGTTGTGCTGTCTACCTTGGCAGCATACAGTATTGTTTTTGTATCACTACACAATTAATATCATTTTGTCTGAAAATCTTACCAGATAATACTAGCAAACGGCAAAATTGCAGTGAAAAACCAATCAAACTGGCTTTTTGTATTGTTGTCAGGCATGACGTCAATATAACTTGGCGTCAAAAACTACGTTATACATTCCCGCGCTTTTCTGGTGAAGCAAACAGCAAACCTAAACAGCGGAAAAAACATACACATAAAACTACTGTTTCCTACATAACTTAACAGTAACATTTTATGTAAGTTGTCAGTAGAGTGAACATCCAGTGTTATTCAATGGTTCAATGGATGTACTATTATGTTTTCTTCGTGCTAGATGCGGGGTGGGGGTTCGGTTCGGGGGGTGGGGGCTGTTAAACCAGGATACCTTATCTCCCATCCCTCCCTTAACCCCTGCCAGCTGTGGAATTTTATCTCAAAATATGTGTCCCCATATTGGGACAGGGGCAATTTCGGCCCCTTTTTGTTAAAGTCGTTCTGAACAGTATGTCATATGTTATGGATTTGAAAGAGTCCACAATATAGGCGGACTGGTCGAGTGGTCAATGTAAACACTACGGCCTTCCATGCGGCCGGGGTTCGATCTCCGAAGTCGTCGTACGCATGGATATTCAGAAAAA